ACAGACCAATAGACTTGCCCAGTTTATATTGCTCATCAGTGTTAGTGGAACTAAGATTTAAACCCAAGCAGTCACTGCCAAGACTAGGGTAAGGTAAGAGAGGTGCTCAGAGTACAAAGTTTAAGGGATAATTCCCTCTTAATCTTGTGCAAGTATAGAATTCTCACCCGAGAATGGATGTTTCCTTAAATTGCACCCTCATCCTGGGCTTGCAAGCAACCTAGATTTGGAGCCTAGGTACTTAATCCTTATGCATCCTGCCTGCTTGGTCCTCACCCTCATGGATCAGTCAGCCTTTCGTTGTGTTGAACAGCCTGAGAGGGTGTGCAGGCATGGAAGAGACCAGCAGAGACAGGAGTCCAAAGCAGGTGTCTTTCCTTGCTTTTAGCTGGGCATTTTCACGTGCCCTCCCTCTTCCTTCCACTATGTTTCCATCCTTCTCCAGTACAGAAAGGAAAAAAAATACTCTTCACTTCAGAAGTACATGTCTGTATCCCATAGAGAAATATTAGAATAGCATATTGAAGCATTGTGCATACTCAGGCCTAGCTACTCCAAAGAGCCTTATTTCTTTCTTCTTTTCTTTCTTTCTTTTTTTTTTTTTTTTTTTTTTTTTTTTTTTTTTTGAGACGAGTCTTGCTCTGTCCCCCAGGCTGGAGTGCAGTGGTAAGATCTCAGCTCACTGCAACCTCCACCTCCCGGGTTCACGACATTCTTCTGCCTCAGCCTCCTGAGTAGCTGGGACCACAGGTGCCTGCCACCACACCTGGCTAATTTTGTGTGTGTGTGTGTGTGTGTGTTTTTAGTAGAGACGGGGTTTCACCGTGTCAGCCAGGATGGTCTCAATCTCCTGACCTCGTGATCTGCCCACCTTGACCTCCCAAAGTGCTGGGATTACAGGCATGAATCACCGTGCCAAGTCAAAGAGCCTTATTTCTTATCACCAAGTCCAGACACACCCTGAGGTGTGTGGTGGAGTGGCCAATCATGCAGGATACATATCAATAAGGAGTCCCGGGGCTTAGAAAAGGGCCTTGTGAAGAGGAGTCAAACTGCCTCAGAGAAAAGAAAAGGTGGAGGACAGTCCAGGATCCCAGGACATCAGTGAAGATATCTATCCCTGCAAATATCCTGTACTCTCGAAAATCTTTTAATGTGCTGGGTAGGTTTTGAATGGGAATAAACTTTTCCAGTTAGCTGACAAATGACAAAACAATCACTATGTAATTAAGATAAAGAGGTCCTTCCACTCAGTCCTGTACAACCTGAGCTTTAGGAAGCCACTGGGATTGTGGACTGATAATACTGGAACTCTCTCTGGTACCCTTCAGTAGTGGATCAACCCTCCCCTTGACTCAGTGGACCATGGAAGAAACACCCATATGCTCTTATGGACGTATGTGGAGAGCCAGCAGGAGCTACGGCCATGGCTGGCATGAAGGAGAGGAAGTGATGGTGTCTTGCAGCGTCACTGAACTTGGCAGCATCACAATGGGAAATTCCTGATAGTCCTTCTGGACAAACTTTTGACACTGAAATCTGGGCAGACTGGTTGATGATGGCTTCTTCTCTCTTATGGGCATCATGCCAACAGAACCATGTGGGGAGGACCATACCAAATGGGCAAGCCCAACAGTGCTCAGCTGAAGGGCACCTGGGCTGTGAGGGAGCATCACTTGCCTCTTTGATGAGGTTCATAAATCTGGGTCCAAGGCGCCATGGCTTATGTCGATGGCACTGTAGGGAGCTGACGGTCAGCTGGGATGCCCGGTGCGAGGCAATGGCCACCATGTACACAGCATCGTACATCAGAGCCGCTTCAGTCTGTGGAGGAAAACACACACCACATCTTCAATTCCACCTTTGCTTACCTTCCTTTACCTGCATAATCACTCTTTCTGCTTCCATAGCTCTTATCTATCTGATCTCGAAGGCCATTTATTGTTCAGCTAGGTAGTTTTCACTCTCCAACAGCTATTTTTCTCAAAAAATAATACCTCACACTTCGGAGTAAATTGAAGTCATAACTCTGCTTTGTTTCAAGTTCTTTAAAAAAAAAATAAAGCACCCCAGATCAGCCACAGAAGACTTGATTCAAGGAACAAATATTTTGCAAAGTGTCTTCTATGTTAAGCACGGTGTTAAAATCAACTACTTGAGCTAGAAGCTACTAAAGCTCAAAGTTGCAATATCAGATTTGTTTTTCAGTATTTGTCTATAACTATTTATCTGTCTACTTACTGGTTTATATTTGGTAGAAAGAAACTGCTGCAATCACTAACAGGTGGTTTCCAGATAAGCATACTGGTGTTGGTCACTTTCATTTACCAGAGTTAAGAAGGTCATAGTCATGGAATGAAACTCAACAGCAAGTTTTGGGAGGCCCTCTGAAGAGCAGACACGTGCAACTGGCTCAGAACATGCCTCCTCTTGCCAGCACGTGCTTTCTTGAGACAGATTGAAACCAGTCAGTCATTCCTTTTAGGGGACTGGGCATCTCATTCTTCCCTTCCTCATGAAATTCCTGTCACGTGCAAAATTTTACATAATACTTACAGCATTTTATAAAATATACTTCCCTGTGGTTTTCTTTAGGGAAAAAAATCTTATAATAGCCTTGCATTTCACTTGAGGGTTTCATTGCAACTTCAAATACATTAGCTCATTTGAAATTCTCAACAAGTCTTCAAAATAAGCAGAAGAGATAAAGGTATTTATTATGTGAGAAAACTCACTTTGAGGTAGGATATTTGTGGAGGGGCACCCACACACACGTGCACACACACATGTGCACACACACACAATCATAGTGAGAAATTCCAGAGATGTCATTACTTCTGCTTATTATTTCTGGAGAGTAATAGGGATTATATACATAGCCAATCATTTTCAGAGTTAAACCTAGAATCTAGGTCATGGAATGAAAATTATCATATGGTTTTCCAAAATTGGTTGATACATTCAACATATACTATGCATTGATTGCTCATGTCTTGGTGGAGGTGGAAAGCAAGGACGGGGTTACTATATCTCACAATTTTATCAGTCTTTGAGGCCATGGAATACCTCTACTTTGAATCCTTATTATTCTCTACAATCTTTATCATTGTATTTTCCATCTATTCATGGTCAGAGGTCTTTATGTCCATTTCTTAATAAGAATATTGGTTTTTTGAAGGCAGAAACTGCTCAAGTTTAAGTTAGCTTTGGTGGCTAACATGGTTCCTGATACGGAAAGTTGTTTAAACATGTTCACTGAAGAAATTCATATTACTTAATCCCTTAAAATGAAATTTATTTTTGTGAGAACTGTATAATTGCAAGGCTTTAAGATGTAGTTTTAAGAAAAAACATTTCATTCATACTTATGTAATTGACATACAGACATTAGATTGGTGGTGGCAGTAATTTCTAAAGCTTAAAAATGTTTTGATCATTTCAGTCCAAGACTCACACAATCCACTTTGTAGATGAGAAAACTAAGGCTCATGGAAATTGACCAGTATAAGGCTACTCTGTAATCAATTTCATGGCCAGGGTTTGAGCCTGCACATGCGCGATTCTAGCACCCATGATCTTTACCACTTTGCTGTACTAATTCTGTTTAATTGGAGGAAAGTAAGCTACTGGCAGATTGAGACTTTTTGAAATGCAATCAATAACAATAGCTGACATTTATCGAGCACTTATGATATGTCGCATGCTGTTCTAAATCCCTTGCAAACATGAAATTTTCACTATAACCTTTATTCTTTTACAGATAAAGAAATAAAGATATTAAATGGGATCCCCAAACTCATGGAGGGACAGGCAATATTCAAACCCATGAAGTTGGTGCTAGAGTATATGCCCTTAACCATAAAGCTGTGCTGCTTCTAAACCAAGTTATTGGTCTGATGATTTAATAGTCACAATAATAGTTCAATAAAGGTTAATATTCACTGATAATTTACTATGTGCCAGGCACTATAAGCATTTTACATAAGTCATCTTTTTTAATTACTGAAATTAAACTTTTGAAATAGGTATGCAGATGGGGAAATTGAGGCTTGTAGAGGTAGAATAACTTACCTAAAATTTTGTAGCCATCAAGGGAAGGAATGAGAATTCTAATTTGGGATGCAAACTCAGATTTCAGCTCATGACCATAGCCACATGCTATGATGACTTGGACTTTTTTTTATCAATAGGATATACTTTTTTGAAAATTTGTATCTGTATTCATTAATTCACTGAATGACCAATTTGATAGAGAAGTATAAAGACTGGAATTCTAATAATCTGATTTTTCCATAAACTTAGTTTAGAAAAGATGGACATTCTTTCTCAAGGCGGGCTCCATATTGGGAAGGGCAATAAAACGATTCAAAATTATAGGTCTAATCTGTGCCTTTCAACCCAAAGAAGAAAACTATTTATTCTAACAAATATGCTGCCCCTTGAAATACAATGTTTTCTTAGATGGAGAAAATGTTTACATTAATTATATTATAGCACTAATATACTACCACTGATTTTCCTCCCCCTTTCAGTTTTGTGCTTGAGGCCTGCTTACTGAATGGCTGTCATCATTTTAGGTAATAGGTAATGTAATAGAAACTGGCTTATGTTTCAAATTTTCCTCTTCCAAATGTGTTTATGTTCACATTTTATATTTATCTAAAGCCTGGATGAAATCACATTGCTCAATGACCCTAAGAAAATCTTTTTACCACAATCTGAACCATGAAATAAGCACATTGAAAGCATACTTCTCCCCAGTACACAATGTTTTGGTTATTACAATTTGCAGTAAAGGATTAACTCACTGGGCTTAGGGTACTCAGACTTTGCACATTCCAAAGAGAGGACCAGCCCCTTGACTGGCTCTTGAGAGATAACCTTCAACTCCTTGGAATACCCCAATAAGAGCGTCATTGTATTCTTGGGGTCCTGGGTAATGTCAGATACTTTATTTTAAAAATGTGATTTATGATGAATGCCTATTTTTGTTGACCTAGGGCTCTGGGCCATGCTGTATCAATTTGATCTCCTGAAAGGCTGGATACTAAGTAACTAAGGCCAACTATATGGGAGCTCCATGCCTATGTGACCAATCATCCCAATAAAAAACCTGGACCCCAAGGCTTGGGTGAGTTTCCATGGCTGGCAATACTTTCTACTTGTTGTCATAGATCATTGCTGAGGATTCAGTGTTGTCCATGCAACTCTGTTGGGAGAGGATACTTGGAAGTTGGTGCTTTTTCTGTGTGGACTCTCTGTCACTTTTTCCTTCGCTGATTTTACTCTGTCTTCTTTTGCTATAAATCTGTCATTGTGAGTACAACAGCTTTTCTGAGTTCTGGGAGTCCTGCTAGCAAATCATCAAATCTGAAGATGGTCTTGAGGACTCCCAACATACGCCAGTGAGATGCCACCTCATCTTAGAGATGAGGACTAACAACACCACGTGGCCTTAGAAAGTCCTCATACTTAGCTGTGTGCGTGGCACATAATTGTTGTTGGAAAAAGCAGGAGGAGATTGGGGTGCTGAAGAGAGACCTAATATTCAGAGATCAAATGGGCTGATCATACAGGGTCACACAGGTCCCAGATAAGGGTCCATCTTGGGCTATATGTGCAAGCTAAGGAATGTGTTTCTTGGAAACACGCAGATTCTGCTATGATATTTCAGAATATCTCTTGTTTTATTTATTTATTTATTTATTTATTTATTTATTTATTTATTTATTTTGAGATGGAGTCTTGATCTTATTGCCCAGGCTGGGGTGCAATGGCACAGTCTCAGCTCACTACAACCTCTGCCTCCCTCGTTCAAGTGATTCTCCTGCCTCAGCCTCCCGACTAGCTGGGATTACAGGCACCCACCACCACACCCAGATAATTTTTGTATTTTTAGTAGAGACAAGGTTTTGCCATGTTGGCCAGGCTGGTCTTGAACTCCTGACCTTGTGATCCACCTGGCTCGGCCTCCCAAAGTGTTGGGATTACAGGCATGAGTCACCATGCACAGCCTCTTGTTCTTTTATTGACTACAAATAGGCAAAACATCAGGTATCAAGTGAATTCAATTCTATGTACTAGAGGCTTCACATATGTGATCTAATTTAATCTGTAGAGTAACACTGTAAGGCATTACAGTACAGATTTACAGATGAGCAGAGAACTGAGAGAGGTTAAATAACTTGCTCTGGTCACTTAGTTAGGAGACATAGCCAGGACTTCACCCTAGGCTTTCATTATCTGGGAAGATTTTGCTTTTTGTACTGAATCCAGCTGCCTATTTTCTTTCATTGCTTAAGTGGATGTACAAGGTGGGAACTCTAGGACATCTTCCCTATGGGTCATGATTAAGGGAAATGTTTACAGGCAAGAGAGCAGGATAAAGCTACTGACTTAACTTTATGTTGTGAGTGGATGTGAAGAACTGGAAAGGCAGATGTCAGATCAATGTTTGGTTGTTCCCCTGACTCCTGTGCAGTGTTGACTCATACACAATTTTGGTCCACTGAGAAGAACCCATTTGAGAATGAACCATTCTGTATTATCCCAGTCTATCCAAAAGCTGAAAGGTTGAATCACCCCAATTGCTGAGAAAAAATTTAAAGATTATAAAAGAGAGCAAAGTAGATTTTATAAAATTCACTCCAAACTTCTGTTAATTTTGTCAATTAACACTTCAGTTGATAAAACACTCTTTTTTTTCTCAAGATATTTTTTAATAATGAGTTTTACTGTTTTTGAACTCAGTTGACTCAGTAACATTTTAACTTAATTTTCTTAACTTAATTTTAACCTAATTTTTAAACTAAATTTTTTTCTTTAATTCTATTGTTCTTAAGTCTGGTGTCAAGATGTTTTGGATATGGGCATGACTGGCTTCTGTTATTTTCAGATATGAATGTTTTGATATAATCATATTATTTGAGGATTTTTTAGTGTATGAAATTCTAAGAAATGCTTAATAGTTAAAAATATTAGAGAGAAAAATAGATAATTGAATGGGAAATCAAAATACATGCATTTTCCTTATGCTTTTTTCTAATTCCTATATTCATCCATATACGTATGCACCACACACAAAACTATGACTATAAATAGTTACAGGGAAATTCACCTTGAATAATAGTGGAATGAAGCATATGATTTCAGAGAATACAATTCTATTGTAGTAATGGCATTATTTAAACATTAAGAGTGGCCAGTCTGTGACTAATTTTAAAAAAACACTATTATTTTAAAGTAATCTCTATTTTACTAATCATGCACATTCACATATATCTTATTTATAGGAACTCTCTGAACTTTTATGGGACTATTTTCAGAGCTGCCTAAATATTTTTCATTTAACATCTTCAGGTTTAGTAGAAGCTTAATCCTTATTTATTTAGTGCATTAACTTCTTTATTAAATACACATTTATTGAAGGTGTACTTTGCGCTGGGCCTTTTCTAGTGCTGGGGAGAAAGCAGAGCACAAAAGCACAAAGCCTCTTTTTCATAAAAGATGCCTTTATGAAGTGTCTATTCTTGTAGGGGAAGGTACTAAACAAACAAATCAAAATATAACAAGTCAGATCATAAGGGCTAAGAAGAAAACAAAAACAGGTAAGAGGAAAGAGAGAAAAACCAGGGAAGGGGCTACTGTATGCTTCTAGGCACGGGGGCAACAAGTGCTTGACATGCAAGAATAAATGAAGGGCAGGGTCTGCTATTTGGACCCAATGAAATTGAAACCAAAGGACTTTTTATCTTTAAGGTAGAGAAGAAAGAGTTTAAATAGAGGCAACTTGACAGCAAAGATTTGTTAGCATTGGGCCTGGGCTTGGGGTCGTAAGTTTGCTCTCTTGGCTTAGCTATTGGTCAAATGGATGTCCTTTCATGCCCTTCAATGCCCTTCACCTCCCATGACACAGTTTCCACATTCCCAAAGTAGCCACATCCAGGAGAAACAGAAAGAAAACAGTCAAGTGCAAAGCAGACTCTTTGGATAAAGAAAGTAAGTATTACCCTTCACGTAATTTCAAAGTTATTATCTGCATGACTGTTGGATACAGCTCCTACTGGTGCCTGCATCCTATCACTTTTTAAAAAATTAGTATCGACACTACCTGATATGTTCAATAGTTACTCTACCCACTTCTACAGCACCTCAGTGAGCTCTGGTAAATCCCCACTTTCCTTTTTATAGTTTATTATAATAATAAGTGGAAGAACACAGCCTAGAAACCCCTCTCTTAGTTGGGATGACAGTAAAAATCTTCAGGCAGACCAGGGCCTCTTCCATCCATTGGGACTCAACCTTGTCACACTTCCTGCCCCTGGGATCACTGTTAGCCCGGGACACCGGCCGCAGCTCTGGGGTGGCAGCATCACCTCATGCTTGGCCTGATTCCACATGAATTGCATAGGTCTGTCTCCTTCGTTCAACAGTCTTCCTCATCTCAGTCAATATGAACGAACTGTTTTGTCAGCTCCGTGTAACTGAACACACGGACCTTTTTTCTTTGTAAATGAAGCCATACTTGTGATGAATATTTAATGCTTGGCCTAATTCCACAATCTGTGTTAACATAGATTCAAACTGTAACTCTTTTAGTGGTATATCCCAAACACAGGTAAAAATGATTTGAGATCTCATCCTGTGATAGAAACTTCATTGGAAGAGTGGGCAGAGGATTTTGAACCATATTTGAACTCACTGAAATTATAAACCCAAGAGGAATAAGAGAAAAACCGATCTATTAGCATGCTTCTCCCTCTGTCTCTGGTGTTCCCTCTCCCTTTCAGAAGTCTAGTATCGCCCTGGATATTCTCTACTTGCTCCTATTCAAAGAAATGTTTCAAATCATTCCAGGCGTCGTTTGTACCAAGATGCTTTCCATCATTATCTCTCATTTCACTTTGAATATTTTAAAAGTTATTTCAGGTTTGAAAAACAGTTAGGGAGCCTGAACATGGAATCATCCAGAGCTGCTTCATTCATTCATTTATTTCTTCATTTTCATTTGTTCTTCATAAGAAAAAGGGGAAAAAAATTCCAAGTTCTCTGTGAGATGATGGGTAAATTGCATCTTAGAAGTGAGAGTGCATCTCCCGATGATAGGAATGGATAATAAAATCCTATGCCAATTTAAAATGCTATTACCTGCCTGCATTCCACAGTATCTTTCCCCTTAGATGGCTCCCACATAGGAAGCATTTTAAAAAAATTATTTCCTGCTATTTTCTTCAGCACCCAGGGAGCTTCATTAGAGAAATAAAGTGAAGGTAGGTGCATTTGACAAGAGACAAATGATGTTAGGGAGAAGCTCTCTGATGAGGCAGTTCGCAGTTTATCTGTTCAGCAGAGTATCTCTGACTTGTCAGGAGGCAGGTCTGGCATCTGCTTCAAGAGCAACATATGGCTGGTGTTAAACACTGTCAGTTCTGCAGAGGTGAGCCTATACACATCCAGGACAGGAAGAGCTGAATACACCAACTGTTTGGAGATCCGGCATTTTTCCACATTGGCTCTGCTTACTGAAATGTGGCAGAAGTGAGGAACACAAACCGGTTCTGCAAAACTCACGGGTACGTTGTTCCTCCTCTTCCCCAACCAGCCACCTTCCCCACGGCCACATTCCTACAATAAAATGCTCTTCAACTCGTCCTGGCACTGGTTTGGCTGATAATGGTGGCTACTCTTGTCAAGTTTTTTATCTGCGGCGAGTACATCCAGGAAGCTAAAAATAGCAGTTTTTGCTAGTAGCCAGTCACAGCCTTTCAAATTACCTAAAAAACAAACTCTTTCTTCTCTCCTGCAAGTCAAGGCACCCACTGTAACACTTTTCTTTAACATTTTAAAGACACGTGTGATCTTAACCCCGAAGGAATTCAAATATTCTTGCGAGTGATTTTATTTGAAAATGACTTACTGTCATCATGCCATCCAAAAGGCCAGTCTCAGGCCTGGGTGGGGCCTGCAGCCTCTCCATGGACCACTTCTCAATGATGGACGACACATGAGGGTTGTCAATGTTAAGCAGCCGAAACCCGGTCATGTTTACGCCACTGTACCTATAGAGCTCCAGATCCAAAGCAAATAAGTCCTGCATGGTATCAAAAAGGATAAAATGGAAAATAATTAGCA